CGGGCTGCCCCCGCGCGCAGGCTCACCGGGCCCTCCCGCCACGCGCGCCGCTGCCCGCACGCCGCGCACTGGGGGCCGCCGATGTCCGGCGCGCCGCACCGGAGACACCGGGGCGGGGACCTGGGCACTCGCAGGGGTTCCGCGCACTTCTCCAGCCTCGAGTCCGAAGTATGACGCGGCCCCCCAGGGGCCCCGCCACTCCCTCGGTCAGCGCAGGCCACAGCCCGAGGGGGCGCGCGAGGTGGACAGGTCCTCGTGGGTTGAGAAGGAAGGAAACAGACCTGGCTGGACCCGCCTGGAGCAGAGTCCTGCGCCCCCCCCCTCGTTGGGGGAGCCAAGAGCCAGAGGGACTTGGTCGCCCAACTCTCACTCATCTAAGAGCAAGGAGGCGGGGTTCTTGGAGCCCACCGACTTTTTATAAAACCCGAAAAGGGCTTTTTAACGTCACCTGATGGGGCAGGAGGTGGGGGTCACGCCGCGCCCCGCTCCCTTGCCCAGGGCCGTGGCCCCACATCACTGTGCAGCTCCTCGGCCCCAGCCACACCTCCCGGGGAGCCCGTTTTTAACCTTTCACTCATCAGGACTCAAAACTGTGAGACGAGTTCGCCAAACTGTGACCCCAGACCTTGGCCCCGCCACACAGAAACAAACCCCTGACCCCAGACTGTGACTTCCGACACCTAAATGGTCATCTGACCCCAGACTGTGCCCCGACCAGACTGTGACCCTTCATGTTAAACCGTGACGGACCTTCCTTTTCGACCCTCATCGGCTCTTCCCTATGACCTAGCTATCCCCCCACAGAAGCCCTATCTATCTTCACCTGCCCTCCCCACCTCCCTACCACCCCAGATGCCACCAACCACATCTTTAAGTCCAGCCCTTATTTGTGACCCCTCAGTGATGACCCAACAGACAGCGACCCGGAAGCCGCCTCGCCCAGATCTCAGCAGGGTCTGGGGCTGGGTTGAGAGGCGGATCTAGGAACCACACTTCACCAACCTTCCTTCCCACCCCGACTCCTACACTGCAGTATTTGGAATAAACCATGTTTTTATGCCTCCTCAGTCCAAGCCTGAGCTCTGTGACTGTCTCTTAGGCCCCCTCATCTTCTCTGGGGGGGAAACAGAAACAGAAAAATCCCACAGGGAAGATGGCAGAATTAGAGAGCAGAAACTGGGCTCAGGGTGGAGTAGCAGAATATTTGCCTAGTATGCGTAAGACTGAGTTCGATCCCCAGCACTAGCTAGAGCAAAGAAAGACGGGAGGTGATGGAAAGCTAGATCACAGCCTAGGACGTGGGAAGAGACTGGAGGCGGGTGGAGAGGGGGCGGGGCAGAGACAGTCCCCAACAGTGGTGGAAAAGATCAGGGATGCAAATTATTTTAAATATTTTTTTATTTATGCTTTTTATTTTATGTGTATGAGTGTATTGCCTGCATGTACGTGAGTGCACAGGTGTCGTGCAATTGCCACGGAGGTCAGAAGAGGGCGTCGGATTCCCCTGGAACTGGAGTTAAGGACTGTTCGTAGCCGCCATGTGGGTGCTGGGAATCGAACCCGGATCCTCTGCAAGAGCAGTCAGTGCTCTTAACCGCTGAGTCATCTCCAGCCCCAGAGATGCAAAATTTTAAGGACCAAATCCAGGGTCTGGTTTCCTAAACCTACCCACAAGAATGGTTTGATAGATGATTCTCTTCATGCAAACGAGGAGAGTGGCCAACCCATGCCTTGAATATCCTTAATCTCACCAGTGGGAATCTGTTTCTAACATTTCATTATGCCAATTAGCCAAACCGCCCGTGCCCATGGGTGACACGTTTGAAGCAGCAGCCTCAAGAGGAGAGACTTTCTGATTAAGTCTCTGCTGACCAGAGCTGCCATGGAAAGGCCTGGTTAAGTAATGGACTGCCCCTAGAGGGTAGATTCAATCGACTCTCATATAATGTCCAGCCTGTCTACGCTAAAGCATTTTGAAATTTAAAGCCATCATAACAAGGAGAGGACAAGAAACCCGCCTTATGGGTCCTCAGGGAGCAGAAGCCCAGATCTTCCTGCCAGTAAGTGCTCGTCTGCATACATGAATAATTAAGTGGAAAGACAGCCCTAGGACTCTAGGGTGGAAGAGATGGAGAGGGGTTCGGAACGCAGGACTGATTGAGAACTACAATTCCCAGAAGGCTTTGCCACTGCTGCGCAGAAGAACGCCCCAACGTCAAGCAGAACAAATATCCGCTGTCTTAGGCTTTTCTGACAGAGCCAGCACACCCTTACCTTTGTCAGCCTGCTCTCTGAGCACCACACTCTAATTGGTAGTCCGCATGTTTCCAGGGTAACCGTGCAGTGGGGCTGGTCTTAGATGATCGGAAGCGAAACCCGGAAGTGACGGTCTTCCCTCGCGCCGGAGGTTTGGAAGGTTAGAAGATGGCTGCGCGCAAGGGCCGCAGGCGCGCACGTGAAACCGGGGAGCCCATGGAGGCCGAATCTTGTGATCCAGGTTCCGCAGGCCCAACCCAGGTCTACTTGCCCGGCAGGGGGCCACCGCTGGGCGAAGGGGAGGAGCTGGTCATGGACGAGGAGGCCTATGTGCTGTACCACCGTGCACAGACTGGTAGGCCCAAGACCGGGAATCCTGGATCCTGAAAATGAAGGGCCTGGGTCGTAGCTTAAGAGGTGTTCAGGACGACGACGGTGGGGTCGGAGGGCAGTGACGTCACATTGCGGACTGGTGTCCTCTGAGGGAGGTGGAAGCTGAGTTCTCAATGCCTCATCCCCACTTCTGCAACCCTCTCTTCTTCCCTCATTCCCCAGGCGCCCCTTGTCTTAGCTTTGACATAGTCCGAGATCACCTGGGCAACAACCGGACTGAGCTCCCTCTCACGCTTTACCTGTGTGCGGGAACCCAGGCGGAGAGCGCCCAGAGCAACAGGTGAGTCCTAAGATCTTTCCAGAACTATCTTAGAAGTGGCCCAAAAGTCTGGGTCTCCAGCCTCCCTCTTTCCTAAACATCTTGGCATCCATCAAAGGTTAATAACTCAACCCTTTGTTTTCCCAGACTGATGATGCTTCGGATGCACAATTTGCACGGGACCAGGCCTCCACCCTCAGATGGCAGTGATGAGGAGGAGGAGGATGAAGAGGATGAAGAAGAGCGGAAGCCTCAGCTGGAGCTGGCCATGGTTCCACACTATGGCGGCATCAACCGAGTTCGGGTACATGTCCTCCCAGAGGCCTGCTCGGCATTCTCTGAAGCTCAGGCTTCCCCCCATGTTCAAATGTCCCTCAGCACCTCATGCAGCTCAGCTTCCTCTCTCTCTCTCTCTCTCTCTCTCTCTCTCTCTCTCTCTCTGCTTTGCTTTGTTTTTAGTTTGTTTTTCAGACATAGTCTCACTATGTCACTATGCAGCCCAAGCTGGCCTCAAACTCAAGCCAGTTCTTCTGTCTCAGCTTCCTAAATGTTAGATGAAGATGTGAGCCACCATACCCAGCTCCCTTCAGCTTTTAGAGAAGTGTTAGGGGCTGGAGAGATAGCTCAGTGGTTAAGAGCATTGACCGCTCTTGCAGAGGACCTGGGTTCAATTCCTAGTACCCACATGGCAGCTAACAACTGTCTGTAACTCCAGTTCCAGGGGATCCGACACCCTCTTCTAACCTCTTCGGGCATTGCATGGGTGCACTTGCATACAGGCAGTACACTCATACACATAAAATAAAACTTAAAAAGGAAATGTTGGATGTATAGTTACTTTTGTGTATCTTAGGAATAATAATAATTGTGTTACACGGTAGGTACTGTTTTAGACTATGGTGATATATTACACGGTAGGTACTGTTTTAGACTATGGTGAGATATATCACAGAGATCCACCTGCCTCTGCCTCCCAGGTGCTGAGATTAAAGGCATGCACCAACATGCCTGGCTGGAACAGATTTCTATAATCCCAGCTACCCAGGAGCCTGAGGCAGGAGAATCAAAAGTTCAAGACCAGCTTGAGCTACAGAGTAAGTTCAAAGGCTGGGGAGGTAGCTCAGTGTTCACATGTGTAAGCTGCTAGATTCAATAAATAAAGCACCTGATCAGGTCGATGTGCAAATAAAAGGAGATGGTAAACAGAGAGCATGAGCAGAATCTGTCGGCTGGTCCTGTGTGTTTCTGATAAATGATTACCATTCTTCAGGCACTATCCTAAGTCCTGAGGATTCAGTCCACAGACAGAAAGTGTCTGGCTTAACATGTACTTGGGAAGGAAGCAAGAAGAAACTAGTAAAGTGTAGGCTCCTCATAAGGTGCTCAATGTTGTGGAGAAAAACTAAAGTGAAGCAGGTAGAGTTGCCTTTATAAATGGCACAGTTTGATGAGCAGGTGCTCTTGGTACAGTGACCCACAGCAGGTGAGGGAGTGAGCCAAAGATGCCTGTGGGAACAGATTTATAGGCAAGGAAAATGAAAGTACAAAGGCCTTGGGGTGAACTTGGCATGGTTAAGGGGTTTCAAGGGAAAGGAGAGAGACCACTGTGTGTGGAACAGAATGGGAAAGAGGGGCAATGACAAGATGTGGAGGGCGAGCACCTACAAGACAGGTTAGAGCCACTCACGGGAAAGATGACCTCGGTAGTGGCATGCATGACAACAATACAGTGATCAGAAAGATTGGAAGCATGCTTCAGTGTGGCCAGCATAGATACTGGGTCTAGGAGGAAGACACAAGTCAAAGGTGAGTCCCAATGTTTTGGACCCAAGATAGAGAAAACAGGAGGACTGGGCTGCCTATAGCAATGGAAGGTAGGTTTGAGAACCTAATGAGCATAGAGGGGGAAAAAAAAAAACTGAGAGGTAAGCCCTGGGACCTACTAACACACAGATGGTTTCAGAGACTAGGAGTCTGAGTGCACTCCAGAACACTTGGAGGCTTGGAAATCCAGGCATCTTGGAGCTTCACCCTCTTTATGTATTCTGTGTGTGTGTGTGTGTGTGTGTGTGTGTGTTGGGGGGGTGGGAGGGTGACCTGGTTGTAGTTTCTTTCCCATAAAGCTGTTTGGAAGTCTCAAGCTGGACCTGGGCATGCAGAGACTACTATTCTGGGGTCCATGGGTCCACCTTGAGCCTTCTCCCCCTCTGTTTTGTGTGCCCCTCTCCTGTAGGTATCATGGCTGGGTGAGGAACCTGTGGCTGGGGTGTGGTCAGAGAAGGGCCAGGTGGAGGTGTTTGCACTGCGGCGGCTTCTGCAGGTAGTGGATGACCCTCAGGCCCTGGCTGTTTTCCTTCGAGATGAACAGGCCCAAGTGAAGCCCATCTTCTCCTTCAGTGGCCACATGAGTGAGGGCTTTGCTCTCGACTGGTCCCCACGTGTGCCCGGTAAGTCACTGGATTTTCATATGGTTTAGGGAGGGTGGGTAGTTGGACTTGGGAAGGGAAAAGGGCAGCCAGTGGGTAAGGTGATTGATTTCCTGACCCCACCCTAGGCTGCTTGCTGACCGGCGACTGTCTGAAGAACATCCACCTCTGGATGCCCACAGACGGTGGTGGCTCCTGGCATGTGGACCAGAGGCCATTTGTAGGCCATACACGCTCTGTGGAGGACCTGCAGTGGTCACCAACAGAGGACACGGTGAGAGAAAACTGAAGCCTTGGGCACATGGGTCTCATGGGGGCAGGCTAAGAACCTCAAATCTTTGGCTTGAGAGAGGAGGAGGCCCAAGCCAGGGACCTGATTCAGGCAAGGGGACAGCAAGTGATAGTGTAGCCATGTAGCCACTGTTTATGGAATGAGTTGGGGCCACATCTGCCCACTCAGACTTGATTCACCCCATCCAGGTGTTCGCCTCCTGCTCAGCTGATGCCTCCATTCGCATCTGGGACATCAGAGCAGCCCCAGGCAAGGCCTGCATGCTCACCACAGCCACTGCCCATGATGGAGATGTCAATGTCATCAGCTGGAGCCGCCGGGAGCCCTTCCTGCTCAGTGGTGGGGATGATGGGGCCCTCAAGGTCTGGGACCTGCGGCAATTCAAGGTATCTTCCCAGCTAAGCTTCTGAGGCCTGGGGAAGCACTCTTCCAGTAGTCATTGGGACTTCTGGAAAGGCCCTAGGAATTAAGTCCAGATGAGGAGGCAGGCTCAGCAGGATGGGGGATGTGAGCAGAGGGGTCACTCACTCTACCCAGTAACTAGTTAACAAGCCATAGCAGAGATGGGCAGCACAGAAACTGGCTCTCATTTGCCTGTGGGTGTAGCTGACTACATGGTCCATGGGTTTTGGGCTGCTGGGTTTTCTGTTTTAGTGGATTATATAGCATCAGCTGAGAGTTAGGGCCCAGCTCACTCATTGCAACAGAGAAAGCTGAGGCACAAGGACAGGAACAGAAATGATATTACAGCTAAGTTAAGCATTGTTTGTAGAGTCAAGCAGTGTCCTCAGCAGGCAAAGCTACGCTTGTATCTGTCTGGAGAAAGAGCCTCTCCTGGCTTCAGGCCTTCCCTGCATCACATCAGCCTCTTTTTCCAGTTTAGTCAGTTCTATAGAATCAGCCTTGGAGAAACTTCCACAGGGAGGTGCCACCCTCCATGCCAGCTGGCCCCAGGGACTTCTATTCCCAGTACCACCTCTGCCTAATACAACTGCTGTCATTTTTTTCAGCAGCTGCCGAACAACTTCCCTTTGAGGCATCAGCCTTAAAAAACTGCCAGGCATGTGCTGGAAGGACCACTCTCCCATTCCTTTATGGGAAAGTGGTGGTGTTCCTGTCACCTGCACCTGGTGGGGATGTGGGAGAGGCTTCTTTGCACGTGAAAGCACAGATCCCAGTGGCCCCTAGGACCATAAGCCTTCTTACTATCCTATCCCTATATTTCTTTCCTGAGCTCTGGCCTTGTGTGGGCTTAAGGGGGAACCCTGATTAAACCCTGAGGCTGAGTCCCTATGACTCACACTAAGGCCTGACTCTCACACTCTCCCATAGGCAGGCTCCCCAGTGGCCACTTTCAAGCAGCACATGGCTCCCGTGACCTCTGTCGAGTGGCACCCACAGGACAGTGGGGTCTTTGCAGCCTCAGGTGCTGACAACCAGATCACACAGTGGGACCTGGCAGTTGAGCGAGACCCAGAGGCAGGTGAGGCAGAAGCTGACCCTGAGCTGGCAGCACTCCCCCAGCAGCTGTTGTTTGTACACCAAGGTGAGACCGACCTGAAGGAGCTGCACTGGCACCCACAGTGTCCTGGGGTTCTTCTCAGCACTGCCTTGTCAGGCTTCACCGTCTTCCGTACCATCAGCGTCTAAGGTGACTAAGACTTGGCCTCAGGCCTCAGCTGTGCCTCAGAACTGAAATGTGTTCCCTGGAAGAGCTCATCAAGGCTGTGGACTGCTCCCCAAAAGAAAGACTTGTTCAACTGACCCCCGAGGAACAGAATGACCTGTGTCTCTGAGGACTTACTTGGTTTGACCCTTGGCTCTCTATGCCACATACACCAAAGACTTGGCCTGGGTAAAGACTCCTGCCTGTCCCAGATAAGGCCTCAGTATGAGATTTTGTCAGTGTTGGCACCTTGGACCTCTGACTCAGGACCCAGTTATGACTGCTGATCACCCCCAGGAACTTCAAGGGTTTTGCCATGGTTGCGCTAAGTCTAGGTTTGGGTCTCTCCAGTAGAATAGTTCCCTGCTTGCCTTCTGGCTATGGTAACCACTACTGTGCTGGAAGAGGGTCTGAGGCTCCTGCTACGGTAAAGGACCACAGTGAGGCCCCAAACACTTAAGACACCAGCCAGTTTTTTGGGCTTCTTCCCTGTGAGGAAGCTGAGGGGGGCGGGGAGACAGGAGTTTGGTACCCACCTTTCTCCAGGCTGCCATACTGTGAGACACCCACAGTTATAACCCCTCTCCCAGTGACCCAGCCCTTGGCCATGGAGTCTGTCCCTCTATGAGGCTCTTCCTCAATCTGGTTCAGCCTTTCCCAAATCATACTCCATTTGGAACTCACTCTGCATCAACCAATAGGTGTCTCTTTCTGGATACCCGACTTGAGGTGTCATCCCAGGAGGAATGTAGCCCAATATCTCTTCCCTTTATCATTAATTATCTTGCCATTTCCTTCTGAATTCACCACACTATCAGTGTCTTTCCTGTGATTCCATCTTCCATGTCTCTTGTTCCCACTGTCTCTCCCTGCCTCCAGCCCGTTCTCTGCACTGTCCTCTCCAGTATGCCTGGGCCGCAGCCCAGTGCCCTGCCTGGCCAGCCTCCCTGGCTCCCCCTCTGCGGTGCCGAACTGGCTCCACCCCCGCCCCCCCTCTGTCCAGGCTCTGATCCGCTGTGGCTCAGAGGTCGAGTGCCCAGCTCAGGCCCCAGAGCCACAGACAGACCACAGCACCTCAGCACCCACAGAGGCCCCTCTACAGCCTGGGCAGAGAAGCCCCCAGTACAGGGTATGGGGGTAGGCAGCCCCCCCAGGTAAGTGCAGCCATGTCAGCCAATCCACCTAATCTTTTAGTTCCTGGCTTCCAACTCTGACCCTTCCTGACTTCTTGCATTTTCTCACCACTCCATTCTCCCTTTCTGAGGCAGCCTTTCACATTCCCTTCCTCTGCTTCTTAAGACATGGACTTCACGTCTTTTTCCTTCAATTATTTGTACTCAGCCTTTGTCTGGTAGTGCCCTCTTTAGATCTCCGCATGTCGTATCCTGTGCCCCCCCATCTCTGTCCTCTCTGTCTTAGTCTCTGTCCCTCTCTCTCATTCTGGGTCTCTTATTTCTCTCTCTCTCTCTCTCTCTCTCTCTCTCTCTCTCTCTGTTCCTTTCCCTGAGTCTCAGTGACTCTCTGTCCCTTTTTTGCTCTCACTCTGGGTCTCTCTCTCTCTGGGTTGCTGTCTCTTGTTGGGTCTCTGTCTCTCTGCCTCTGTGTCTTTGTCTCTCTCTGGGTCTCTCTCTCTCTCAGTCTCTGTCCCTTCTTCTAAGTCTCTGTCTCTCTCTCAAAACACCTTTGTTCCTCCCTCTCTGGTTCTCTATCTACCAGCTCAGTCCGCTGTGACTTTGCATCTGTCTTTTGGGCCTTGTGACTCTTGTGTTGCTGGGCTGTCTGGGTGTCATGTACACCAGGAAAGCAGGTGCAGGAGCCCCCATCCCTGCTTGGTCTGTGTCCTCCCTTGAAGCTCCTTCAATGCCTCCTTTCCTGTGGATCTACTATGTAGACCCCACTAGTTGGTGGGGGTAGAGGTACCACCTTGTGTGAATGGGAGAGGTTCTTGGCCCCAGATTATATAGTGACTTTGACATGAAGTTGAAGCATCTTAAGCCCCATGGCTCCTTTATATGGAAACATTAAGCTGCTCTCAGGAGCCAGGTGGAAGAGGGGTGGAGTGGGACCAGGATCCTTTCCCTCTCGCCCTGTCCTTTAGGGGGCAGCCTAGAGCTGGGCCTTTTGGGGTGTCAGAAGTCCCCTGCAGGTGAAGGTCCTGCCCACTCTAAGGTGAATATGGGTCTACCTCAGGGTGGTGGCAGAGTCCAGGGTCAGGTCCAGGACCCAAGCTAGCTTCCCAGCCCACCACAGGGGCCCTGGATAAAGATGGAGAGAAGCCCTTGGCCCCCAGGACCCTGAGCAATCAAGGTGAACCCTGGGGCCTTGTGGGCAGCTTCAGTCTTAGATACTTAAGGAGGATATTGTCATCACTGGGGCTCAGCACACCAAGGTCTCAGTTGTATCCAGGCATGCCACCTCTCTCCCCAGCTAAAGGATTTGAGCCTGGGTCATTCCACCTCCCCTCTCTCCCTGGGTAGCTCTTGGAGACTATTGTAAAGCAGGAATCCTGATGCAGAGGTTACCCACAAAGATTGCTTTTTACCCTCCAACTACAAACCTGCTCCTGGGAGGCTAGCATGCTTCCCCTCTCCCAAGATGATCTCCAGTACATCCAAGGGCTGTTGTGCTGATCCAACTCGGCTCCATCCACTCAGATCTGAGCCTAGTTTCACACCGTTGGGTAGGCCTAGAGAAACCTTACATGGCTGGACTCTCTGGGTGCCGTGGAGATCAGGAAAGGAAGTAAAGGGCACTCTTGGGCCCTAGGTGCCAAACTTCATACAGCCTTTTTTTTTTTAATATATTTTATTATTTTTATGTGTATGCGTGTATTGCCTGCATGTAGGTAAGTGCACCTGTGTTGTACAGTGCCCGAGGAAGACAGAAGAAGCTGTCGGATCCCCTGGAATTGGAGTTATGGACAGTTGTTAGCTGCCATGTGAGTGCTAGGATTCAAACATGGAGCAACCATATCCCTCTGCCAGGTCCATGAGGTTCCCTAAAGCCTAGTCTATCATGCTTATAGAGCATGCAGAGCCCCTTGGTAGATTTAACTCATAGTAGTTTGACAGTCCAGACCTACAGTGTCTATAAGTGGGCTTACAAGCCCACACCCTCTCCTACCCTCTACACTGACGCTCAGGAAGGGCCATGAGTACCCACTGCCAGAGTTGGTGAATGGTCAGACCAGGATTCAGCCTAAAGCTGCCCAAGGTCTGTCTTCCAGATCCCCTTCCTTTCAGGTGGGGGGTTTGATCTCTGTTCTTCAGATGAGTAAATTAAGGCTTTAGAAAAGGAAGCCCAGGGTAGTGACTGTCTTTGTGACCAGAAAGCACTTCCTCAGTGAGATGGCATCCCGTCACTGAGGAAACAGGCCCAGTAAGAGGCCCCAGATCAGCATCAAGGCTGAGCCTGCTTATTAATAGCTCCTTTTGAGTATAATTCATATGTCACTCACCCATCAGCTTGTACGATGTTTATTTTTGTTGTGGAGATCAAACCCAAGGCCTAAGGCATTGGACAAATGCACTCTGTTTCTGAGCCACAATCTCAGCCTTACAAATGTTTTGCTCGTTAAGTTAAGCAGCTGACTCCAGTAATGTTAGGATATAATTTTTATCACCCTAGAAAGGAACCCCATCTCCTTTCTTCAACTTCCTCATTTTGGATGGAGGCAACCCCAGTGTACCCTTTCATGTGTTTAGAGTCATCTCCAAAGCTGATTGTGGTAGTGCAGGCCTGTGATTTAGCACTCAGGAGGTGGGGGCAGGAGGATCCGTTCTAGGCCAATCTAGGCTACTTGAGGACCTTGTCTCCAAAAAAGAACCAAAAAACAACACAGAATTAAGTACTGTGTGAATAGCTGCTGTATTGTTTAGAGAATAATGGAATGTGAAATGGGCTGCTATTCAGTACAGAGGACACTTTAATCTAGTTTGACTGAATTCAGTGAGTGCATCAGATGTAGATACAGAGGCTGAATAATGCCTCCTAGGGTTGTCTCCTCCCACTTGGAACCTTTCATGGTGCATCCATGCCTGATGTGGCCTGTGATCCAACCTACTCCAGAGGCTGATGTGGAAGGATTCCCTAAGCCCACAAACTACAGAGCAGCCTCAAAAAAGGCAACAGTTCATAGTGTTTGATCTGTGTGTCCCATTTTTTCTTAGCATTCAAATCCCAGCTTGACTGACTGTAATCTTGAGCAGGTTTCTTATACTTCCTGTCCCTTGGTTTCCTCATCTGTAAAATGATAATGTGTATCTCAAAAGCCTGTTCTTTGTGCTGGGGGCAAGGCTCAGCGGTAGAACCTGGCCTCCAGCATCTACCAGTGAGGGGCTGGGGATGTGGCTCAGTGGTAGAGCTCTTACCTAGCATGTCCTTGAGTTCCATCCCCAAAACAAAAATTTTGTTCCCAGGCACAAATATGTGCATTCATTTACAGTGGAGACAAAGCCACCAATTCACCATAATTCATAACAGTCAATTTGGAACATGACCTTAGCACCGTGTGCTACAACTGCAGTCATACAAGCTTCTATGGCGTTACACTCTCCAAACTTGGCCCACAAATACTGTCCCAGTCCTCTATCAGATGAGGCCACAGGGCTCAGCAGACCACGACGCCCTAGCTCTGGCCTTGGGCCCTCCAGGTCCTGGTAATCCCTGACATTCCTGTTCATCTTTTGTTCCTGCAGGTTTGGGGCGCCTACCCGCCCGCTAGGCCAAGCGTAGGGGGTCCCCTGCCCAATGGGCCTGGCTAGGGCCCTGCGCCGCCTGAGCGGCGCGCTGGAGTCCGGAGAAGGCCGCGGGGGCGATGAGGAGGCAGGCGGGCCTGGGCTGTACGGTAACGGGTGGGCGCGCGGGCTGTCAGGGACCCGGCGCCGAGGGCGCTTTGTCAAGAAGGACGGGCACTGCAACGTGCGCTTCGTGAACCTGGGTGGTCAGGGCGCGCGCTACCTGAGCGATCTGTTCACCACGTGTGTGGACGTGCGCTGGCGCTGGATGTGCCTGCTCTTCTCCTGCTCCTTCCTTGCTTCCTGGCTGCTGTTCGGCCTGGCTTTCTGGCTCATCGCCTCGCTGCACGGCGACCTAGCTGCCGCGCCGCCGCCCGCGCCCTGCTTCTCACAGGTGGCCAGCTTCCTGGCCGCCTTCCTCTTTGCGCTGGAGACACAGACGTCCATCGGCTACGGAGTGCGCAGCGTCACCGAGGAGTGCCCTGCCGCCGTGGCCGCCGTGGTGCTGCAGTGCATCGCTGGCTGCGTGCTCGACGCGTTCATCGTGGGCGCTGTGATGGCCAAGATGGCCAAGCCCAAGAAGCGCAACGAGACGCTGGTCTTCAGCGAGAACGCTGTGGTGACGCTGCGTGACCACCGTCTCTGCCTCATGTGGCGCGTGGGCAACCTGCGCCGCAGCCACCTGGTGGAGGCTCATGTACGGGCCCAGCTGCTGCAGGTGTGGGGCAAGCACGAGGTGGAGGGGAGGTCCCGCTGCAGGATGGAGGAAGAGGGAGGGGTCCAGTCCCCTGCACTGAGTAAGGGAACTCCTGGCCTGCAAGAGGTAGACACCCAGGAGACCAGTTTCTTGAGACCAGGACATCTAAAGAGCTCTATGCCTGGGGACTGACTGGTATTAATGGAGCAGCCTACACCTGGGCAGCCACACCTGGCCTCAAGGGCACCCTCTTCATTCCCCAGCAGCCTTGGGTCAGGGAAGTGCCTATGAGGTGGCCTGAGGAGATGTATTTAGTGGATGTTGGAGACTGTGAGGTCTTCCCACTGCCCAGGGCACAATTTCCAGCAGACATGAGGGCAGAGCAGCTTGGGACTCAGGCGCCAGGCTCTCCCACCAGCCTCTTGCCCAATGAGTGTAGGGCAAGGGCAAAGAAAGTCTAGAAAATCCACTCTCACCAGCCACTGGGGCAACAGCCTTTTCCAAGCCCTGCTGTGGAAGCCTCGGTTTTCCTAGACTTAGGGCTACATTGCTCAAACATCCAGATTCCCAGCAAACCCTTGGGCTGCAACCAACTTTGGCCAAGTGGACTGCTGCACTTGAGGCCAAAAGAGGGGTTGGGGTGGGTGGCAAGTGCAGCTCTCAGTAGCCTCTGGGGCATGGAGAGTTGCAAGAGAACAGATCCCCAACCTTCAGCTCTTCTTGAGTCACCAAGATTCATAACCTGGAGGGACACTTCTTTCAGAGGTCCATGGCACAATGACAACCTAGAGTAAGGATGGACCCCCCCCACACACACACACACAATGCACTCATACCCACACACAAACAAAGGGATAGCTGGGTTGGCATGATCACCAGGGGCTGGCTGAGGCAGTGGTAGATTAGTTCTTGGAGCCAGGTTGTTCTGACCCCTTCTCATGTCCTGGTCTGTTGCCCTGGGGTGTCACCCTTATCTTTTGCTGTCTCTGTCTTGCTTATTTCTGTGGCTTAGAGCCAACAGTCAGTCACTCTATCCTGCCTTCTCACTCTCACCTCTCCACCCCTAGCTTTCTATCCACAGACCTCTCTAACTCCTCCTTCCCCATCTCTGTCTCCCTCCTCATTCTGAATCTCTGCCCCCTTCTCTCTCTATGAGTTCTCTCCCCCCACCCATACCTCCCTGTCTCTGGGTTTCTGTCCCTTTCTCTATGAGTCTCTGTCTGTCTCTCAGTTTTGGTCTGTCTTCTGGGTCTCTGCTCCACCCCCATGTCTGTCCCTCTTTCTATGGCTGTCTCTCATCTCCCTGTCTCTGGGCTTCTGTCTCTCTGGATCCATGCTCTCAACCTGCCTTTCCCACTGCTGCTCTTTGCCTTCTTTATATCTTTATTCCAATCTTGCTGTAATCTCTTTTCACCTCTCTTGTTTTGTCCTCTTGCCCCTGCACAGCCCCGTGTGACCCCAGAGGGCGAATACATTCCACTGGACCACCAGGATGTGGATGTTGGCTTTGACGGAGGCACCGACCGCATCTTCCTTGTGTCTCCCATCACCATCGTGCATGAGATTGACTCTGCCAGTCCCCTATACGAGCTGGGGCGGGCTGAACTGGCTCACGCAGACTTTGAGCTAGTGGTTATTCTCGAGGGTATGGTTGAGGCCACAGCCATGACAACACAGTGCCGATCGTCTTACCTCCCCAGGGAGCTGCTCTGGGGCCATCGCTTTGAGCCAGTCCTCTTCCAGCATGGCTCCCAGTATGAGGTTGACTATCGCCACTTCCACCGCACCTATGAAGTCCCAGGGACACCAGTCTGCAGTGCCAAGGAGCTACATGAACGGGTAGAGCAGTCCTCTCACAGCCCTAAGTCAAGTTTTCCTGGCTCCCTGGTTGCATTTTGTTATGAGAATGAACTTGCTCTAAGCTGCTGCCAGGAAGAAGAGGAGGATGAGGACACTAAGGAGGGGACTTCAGCAGAGACCCCAAATGGGGCTGCCAGCCCCCAAGCTCTTACACCAACCCTGGCGCTGACCCTGCCTCCATGACACAGCTGAGACCCTCTTCCCCATGTGAGCCCCTTTCCTAGAGATGGCAGAGTTGGAGAGCATCCAGCTTCCGCTGGGAGGGGGTAAATGACCTGCCGGGACAACCATTAACCATGAGGTTGTGCCATGCCTGGTGGGTCCACCACAGATACACTGGACCTTCATGTCTCTGCTCCATGCTCCTTCCCAAGACCCCTTTATGAACCCAGTTCCTGAGTCTTGCTAGAGCCAAGGGATTCAGAGTTCTGGACTACCCAAGAGGCAAGGCCTGGAGACTCGGTACTGGTCAAACATCAGGTAGACAGCCTTGGTGGGGACAATGTCAGTCTACACAGATCAAGAAGTTGAGAGTCAAAGTATGGTGACTTCTCCACCCAGCTACCCTCAGGAAGTAAAGGGTAGAGGACCATCATGATTGACCAAAGACAGGATGGTGACTACATGTTAGGAAAGACCAGGTGGCACCTGAAAGCCCCTGAGATTTTGCAAATCTAGGTTGACTGCAGAAGCAAACACTGGAGATTCTAGAACAGGTTGGCTAGAGAGTTTAACTGCTCCAGAAACTACAGAGCTATGTTTCTAAAATGCACAAAGACTACTGACTCTCCAGGGTCTGGCTGAGAGACCAAGTCTGGCTGCTCAGTAATTCAGAGTATTGCTTTGTTTTGTTTGAAGTGCCATTCTAGAACATCTAAAGGAATCAGGATTCTGTGGCTCCACACTGGTCAGAGTCCAGGCAGGATTCTAAATATCTGTGATTTTCTGGCTTCACTTTTCCCAGCAGGGTTGAGGGCCTCCATGCCCTGGGTGACTTCCTATGGTTCAATAATGCCAAAAGGAAACAAAGCTCAGGGACCCAGAGCCATCCCTTCCCCAAACCTGGAAGTCTCAGTCACCTCCAGATGGACAGCCTGATAGTTCTAGGAAGCAGATGCCTTTCTAGATAGATCTGGCAGGCCTAGAGCATCACAAAGCTACCTATGGGCAATGGAAGGTGGGGGGGTTCTGAGGCCGATGAGCCTAGAATACTCTGGAATATTACACCTAGTGATGTGCATCTATTTCTTAAGGATGTTATACACATATGTATTATATATATATATA